CTCTCTCTCTCTCTCTCTCTCTCTCTCTCTCTCTCTCTGTGCCTCGCTCTCGAGAGAGAGGGAGGAGGAGGAGGCGGCGGCGTCTGTCCCTCTCTGCTCTCTCTCTGCCAGGACGGAGAGGAGAGGGAGGAGAGAGAGAAAGGAGAATGAGAGCGAGGGAAGAGGAGAGAGAGGGAGAGGAGGAGGAGAGAGAGGGAGGAGGAGCGAATCTGTCCCTCCTTCCTATCCTCCTCTCTCTCCTCCCTCTCTATCCTCTTCCTCCTCCTCTCTAGCCTCCCCCTCCCTCTCTATCCTCTCTCCTTCCTCCGCCATCCTCCTCCACCACTCTATCCTCCTCCTCTCTCGCTCTCTATCCTCCTCATCCTCCTCATCCTCCTCTCTATCCTCCACCACTCTGTCCTCCTCTTCCTCCTCTCTATCATCCTCTTCCTCTCTCTATTCTCCTCCTCTCTCTCCTCCTCTCTTTCTCTATCCTCCTCTCTCGCTCTCTCGCTCTCTCTCTATCCTCCTCCTCCTCGCTCGCTCTCTATCCTCCTCCTCCTCCTCCTCTCTCACTCTCTATCCTCTTCCTCCTCTTCTCCTCCTCTCTCCTCTTCCCTCTCTCTCCTTCTCCTCCCCATCCTCTCTCTCCCTGTCCTCTCCATCCCGGCAGAGAGAGATAGAGAGAAAAGAGAGGAAAGAAGGAAGAGGAGAAAGATGGACGAGGGAGAAGAGAGGTGGGGACGAGAGGGAAGAGAGAAAGGGACGAGAGGGAGGGGCAGAGAGAGGAGAGGGAAGAGAGAGGGGCAGACGGAGACGGCGAAGAAGAGCGACGAGGGGGGAGAGAGGGAAAAGGCGAAGAAGAGAGATGAGAGGGGGGAGAGCGGGAGGGACGAGAGAGCAATGAGAGCAATGAGAGAGAGGAGAGAGGGAAGAGAGAGGATAGACGGAGAAGGCGAAGAAGAGAGACGAGAGGGGAGAGAGGGAGAAGGCGAAGAAGAGAGATGAGAGGGGGGAGAGGGAGGGGCAGAGAGAGGGAGAGAGGGAGGAGAGGGAGGAGAGAGTGATGAGGGAGAAGAGAGCGAGAAGAGAGAGAGGGGGACGAGAGAGAAGAGAGAGGAAGAAGGCGAAGAAGAGAGATGAGAGGAGAGAGGGGAGAGAGGGGGGAGAGAGAGGCAGAGAGGGACGAGAGAGCAATGAGAGAGAGGGATGAGGGAGAAGAGAGAGAGAGACGAGAGAGAAGAGAGAGGAGAGAGGGAGAAGGCGAAGAAGAGAGATGAGAGGAGAGAGAGGCAGAGAGAGGGAGAAGAGAAGAGAGAGAGGGAGAGGGAGAAGAGAGAGATGAGAGGGGAGAGAGGGAGAAGGTGACGAAGAGAGATGAGAGGAGAGGGTGGAGACAGAGAGAGAAAGAAGAGAGATGAGAGGAGAGAGAGGGGTAGAGAGGCAGAGAGAGAGAGAGAGAGAACGAGAGGAGTAGAGAGGGGCAGAGAGGCAGAGAGAGAGAGAGAACGAGAGGAGTAGAGAGGGGCAGAGAGAAAACGAGAGAAAGGCAAGGAGAATACAAAAGTGACTTACCTCTCCCAGCAGGTCGTCGAGAATGTTCATCGTCAGCAGCGGCGGCGCGGCGGCGCCCTCGAACTGCTTGGCTATGTTCGTGAGGTATCCGCGCAGCTCTTCGTTCGACTTGTGGTCGACGACTCAACTCTTTGGTTCGTTGTTGGCTCCAGGCGAGGACCTGCATGCAACGACGTCATTAATCGCTTATCGATAGTACAAACAGTCAATGTTACATACAAGATCATCATCAGACGTATTATGTTTGTTGTATGTTACGTATGATGTAGTATAATCAATAAATGATTACATGTTGTATTGAAATCACA